TGACTCGTGAATTTGAGTGTGCTGTTCACTAAAGTCTATTGGACTTATTTTTCTGCGTCCTGCATCTGATTCCTGCACCACACCCACTACAGCACCCACTGACACCGTGATTGGTAGATGGGTAACAATATCAAATCAGACATTGAATATCTCTTTAATCATGGTCAAGTTAATAACTATGCTGTGGATTATGTATTAAACCACCCAGACACATCAAAGATGCAGTCGTCCTTCTGAGGGTTAGGGTTATATGAGATCATTTGGGAATTTTAAAACGGCTACAGAGTTAAATAGCTGTGATGTGAGGAAACTGAGGATGGATAAACAACATTGTAGTGAATCCACAATAATGATCTGAATGACAGAGTGAAAAGAAGAATGCAAATATACAGAATATTCCAAAACATACATATGCAACAAGGCACTAAAGTAATACTGCAAAACAACACGGCAAAGGAATTCACTTTTTGGCCTAAATGCAAAGCCTGATGTTTGGGGCAAATCCAACACAACACAACACAGAGTAACTGCCTCCTTATTTTCAAGCATAGTGGTGGCTGCATTATGTCATGGGTATGCTTGACATCGGCAAAGACTGGGGAGTTTTCAGGATTAAAAGAAATGGGATGAAGCTAAGCACAGCTAAAATCTTAGAGGAAAACCTGCTTCAGTCTGCTTTACACCAGACACTGGGAGAGGAATTCACCTTTCAGCAGGACAATAACCTACAAGGCCAAATCTACACTGGGGTTACTTACAGGCAGTGAATGTTCCTGAGTGGCCAAGTTACTGTTCTGGCTTAAATCTGCTTGAAAATCTATAGCAAGACTTGAAAATTGCTGTCTTGCCATGATCCCAGACACCTTGACAGAGCTTGAAGAATTTTGAAAAGAACAATGGGCAAATATTGCACAATCCAGGTGTGCAAAGCTCTTAGAGACTTACCCAAGAGGACTCACAGCTGTAATCGCTGTCAAAGGTGTTTCTAACATGTATTGACTCAGGGGGTTAATACTTATCTAATGAAGATATATTAGTGTTTTATTGTTCATCCACTTTGACATTTCAGAGTATTTTGTGTAGACCGTTGACAAAAAAAAAAGACAATTAAATCCATTTGAATCCCATTTTGTAACACAATTAAATGTGAAGAAATCCAAGGGGGTGAATACTTGACAGGCATTGTATACTCTTGTTTTCACAATGAGATGTGGCACATTGACAACTCAAATCTCTTTGAAATAAATAGCCTTCTTCTTACCTCATGAAGCCTATAGATGACATAACAAAGTCAGATGTAGTCAGATTCAGATGCACGACATGGGAAGTAGAGACAGAAATGCACTTTCTCCTCTACTGTGAGAAATATTCCTCACCAAGAGATTCATTATTTGCAGAAATGTATTCCAAATTGTATCTAATTAAACCCAGGTAAATAAACAAAAAACACTCATGGGCGAAGGAGCAACGGCTCCTCTTGTAGCCAAATATGTATTTGCCTGCCATAGCCTGAGGTCCAATGAATTATAACATCTGCATAGTAATCATTATTATTATTATTGTCGTGATTGTTAATTCAAATAGTAGTGGTACGGGTAGTGGTCCTGGTAACGGTAGTAGTAGTAGGAATGATGATGGTAGTTGTAGTACTAATGTAATGGGGATCATGAAAAGTTAGTTCTAGTTTTAATAGATAGTAGTATAGATATTAGAGGGAAGTAGGGCTACTAGTGGTAATGGTAGTAGTATAGATATTAGAGGTAGACATGCTACTAGTGGTAATGGTAGTAGTAGAGATATTAGAGGTAGTTAAGCTACTAGTGGTAATGGTAGTAGTAGAGATATTAGAGGTAGTTAAGCTACTAGTGGTAATGGTAGTAGTAGAGATATTAGAGGTAGACATGCTACTAGTGGTAATGTTAGTAGTAGAGATATTAGACGTAGACATGCTACTAGTGGTAATGGTAGTAGTAGAGATATTAGAGGTAGTTAAGCTACTAGTGGTAATGGTAGTAGTATAGATATTAGAGGTAGTTAAGCTACTAGTGGTAATGGTAGTAGTATAGATATTAGAGGTAGACATGCTACTAGTGGTAATGTTAGTAGTAGAGATATTAGAGGTAGTTAAGCTACTAGTGGTAATGGTAGTAGTATAGATATTAGAAGTAGTTAAGCTACTAGTGGTAATGGTAGTAGTATAGATATTAGATGTAGACATGCTACTAGTGGTAATGTTAGTAGTAGAGATATTAGAGGTAGTTAAGCTACTAGTGGTAATGGTAGTAGTATAGATATTAGAGGTAGTTAAGCTACTAGTGGTAATGGTAGTAGTAGAGATATTAGAGGTAGTTAAGCTACTAGTGGTAATGGTAGTAGTAGAGATATTAGAGGTAGTTAAGCTACTAGTGGTAATGTTAGTAGTAGAGATATTAGAGGTAGTTAAGCTACTAGTGGTAATGTTAGTAGTAGAGATATTAGAGGTAGTTAAGCTACTAGTGGTAATGGTAGTAGTAGAGATATTAGAGGTAGACATGCTACTAGTGGTAATGGTAGTAGTAGAGATATTAGAGGTAGACATGCTACTAGTGGTAATGGTAGTAGTAGAGATATTAGAGGTAGTTAAGCTACTAGTGGTAATGGTAGTAGTAGAGATATTAGAGGTAGACATGCTACTAGTGGTAATTTTAGTAGTAGAGATATGAGACGTAGACATGCTACTACTGGTAATGGTAATAGTGTAGATATTAGAGGTAGACATGCTACTAGTGGTAATGGTAGTAGTATAGATATTAGAGGTAGACATGCTACTAGTGGTCATGGTAGAAGTAGAGATATTAGAGGTAGTTAAGCTACTAGTGGTAATGGTAGTAGTAGAGATATTAGAGGTAAACATGCTACTAGTGGTAATGTTAGTAGTAGAGATATTTGAGGTAGACATGCTACTAGTGGTAATGGTAGTAGTAGAGATATTAGAGGTAGTTAAGCTACTAGTGGTAATGTTAGTAGTAGAGATATTAGATGTAAACATGCTACTAGTGGTAATGTTAGTAGTAGAGATATTAGACGTAGTTAAGCTACTAGTGGTAATGGTAGTAGTAGAGATATTAGAGGTAGTTAAGCTACTAGTGGTAATGGTAGAGTAGAGATATTAGAGGTAAACATGCTACTAGTGGGAATGGTTAGTAGTAGAGATATTGACGTAGTTAAGCTACTAGTGGTAATGGTAGTAGTAGAGATATTAGAGGTAGTTAAGCTACTAGTGGTAATGTTAGTAGTAGAGATATTAGAGGTAAACATGCTACTAGTGGTAATATTAGTAGTAGAGATATTAGAGGTAGACATGCTACTAGTGGTAATGGTAGTAGTAGAGATATTTAAAGGTAGTTAAAGCTACTAGTGGTAATGTTTAGTATTAGAGATATTAGAGGTAGACATGCTACTAGTGGTAAATGGTAGTAGTATAGATATTAGAGGTAGACATGCTACTAGTGGTAATGGTTGTAGTAGAGATATTAGAGGTAGTTAAGCTACTAGTGGTAATGGTAGTAGTAGAGATATTAGAGGTAGACATGCTACTAGTGGTAATGGTAGTAAGTAGAGATATTAGAGGTAGACATGCTACTAGTGGTAATGGTAAGTAGTAGAGATATTAGAGGTAGAAAATGCTACTAGTGGTAATGGTTTAGTAGTAGAGATATTAGAGGTAGCCCATGCTACTAGTGGTAATGGTAGTAGTAGAGAATTTAGGGTAGTTAAGTACTAGTGGTAATGGTAGTAGAAAGAGATATTAGAGGTAGACATGCTACTAGTGGTAATGGTAGTAGTAGAGATTTTAGAGGTAGACAGGGCTACTAGGTGTATGGTAGTAGTAGAGATTTTACAGGTAGACATGCTACTAGTGGTAATGGTTTGTAGTAGGATTTAGGGGTAGTTAAGCTACTAGTGGTAATGGTAGTAGTAGAGATATTAGAGGTGGGACTTTGTACTAGTGGTAATGGTAGTAGTAGGGGATATTAGAGGTAGACATGCTACTAGTGGTAATGGTAGTAGTAGAGATATTAGAGGTAGACATGCTACTAGTGGTAATGGTAGTAGTAGAGATATTAGAGGTAGAATGCTACTAGTGGTAATGGTAGTAGTAGAGTTTAATTAGAGGTAGACATGCTACTAGTGGTAATGGTAGTAGTAGAGATATTAGATGTAGACATGCTATAGTGGTAATGGTAGAAAGTAGAGATATTACAGGTAGTTAGCTATTTAGTGGTAATGGTAGTGGGTAGAGATATTAGAGGTAGACTGCTACTAGTGGTAATGGTAGTAGTATAGATATTAGAGGTAGGAAATGCTACTAGTGGTAATGGTATTTAGTAGAGATATTAGAGGTAGTTAAGCTACTAGGGGGTAATGGTAGTAGTAGAGATATTAGAGGTAGACATGCTACTAGGGTAATGGTAGTAGTAGAGATATTAGGGGTAGACATGCTACTAGTGGTAATGGTAGTAGTAGAGATTTAGAGGTATTTAAGCTACTAGTGGTAAGGGTTTAGTAGTAGAGATATTAGAGGTAGAATGCTACTAGTGGTAATGGTAGTAGTAGAGATATTAGAGGTAGACATGCTACTAGTGGTAATGTTAGTAGTAGAGATATTAGAGGTAGACATGCTACTAGTGGTAATGGTAGTAGTAGAGATATTAGATGTAGACATGCTACTAGTGGTAATGGTCTAGTAGTAGAGATATTAGAGGTCGTTAAGCTACTAGTGGTAATGGTAGTAGTAGAGATATTAGAGGTAGACATGCTACTAGTGGTAATGGTAGTGGTAGGGAGAGTTGGAGTTATGCTTTTCATGCCAACAATGCAATTTGCATTTGAGAGAGAGCGAGAGGGAGGGAGAGGGGTAGAGGGAGGGAGGGAGTGTGTTTGTGTGTGTGCTCGTTACATCAGGCAGTCAGTTGGCAGGCAGTGTCACAATAAACACAAAGAGCACACAACCCGATACGATGAGGAGGGGTGGGGAGGGATGGACGGGAGAGGAGAGGACGAGAGGAGGAGGAGAGGAGGGGTGGAAAGGGATGGAGGGAGGAGAAGAGGCGGACCAGGAGGGGTGGGGAGGGATGGAGGGATGTAGAAGAGGAGGACCAGGAGTGGGTGGGGAGGGGGGGAGGGAGGAGGAAGAGGGGAAGGGGGGAGGAGATGAGGGTGGGGGGTGGGTGGGGGGTGAGGAGAGAGGCGGAGGAGAGGAGGGGGGAGTGAGGGGGGCGGGGGTGGAGGGAGGAGAGGGAGATGGAGGAGGAGGGATGGGGGTGGTGGGGGGGTGGGGGGAAGGGGCAGGGGGGGGACGGGGGGGGGGGTGGGGGTGGGAGAGGGGGAGGAGAAGAGGAGAGAAGTGAAAGACCTTTGGGTCGGACGGGTGTTTTGGTGACACCCTTTACCAGAGAGAAGAGGGTAGTAGAAGCTCCTCACGAGCGACATACCCACTAAAAATTAAGCTTTTGAACACTAACAGAGAGAATGGGTGTGGTTGTGTGTGGTGTGTGGGGTGTGTTGTGTGGTGTGGGTGTTTTTGGGGTGTGTGGTGGGGTGTGTATGAATATGGAGGGTTTCATGGTGAATTTTTGGTGAGTAAGATGATTAGGCAGTGGTGTGTTGCGTGTGTATGTGTGTCTGCGTTGTCTGTGTGTGTGTGAGTGTGTATGTTGTGTGAGTGTGTATGTGTGTGACTGTGTGGGGTGAGGTGGTCTGTGTGTGTGCGTGTGTATGTGGTGTTCTGTGTGTGTCTGTGTGTGTGTGCGTGTGTATGTGTGTGTGCGTGTGTATGTGTGTGTGTATGTGGTGTGTGTATGTGTGTGTCTGTGTGTGTATGTGTGTGTCTGTGTGTGTCTGTGTGTGTGTGCGTGTGTCTGTGTGTGTGCGTGGTGTCTGTGTGTGTGCGTGTGTATGTGTGTGTCAGAGACGCACGCACAAAGGCATACAGACACACACAGATAAACAATGTTCCTGTATACTTCTCTTTCAGGGTGGAGGAATATAAGCGTGGGTGTGTGTGTGTCTGTGTGTGTGTGTTTGCAGGCTCACCTGACATCAGTATGACACAGTGTTGTACTTAATACAAATTAGTGTGCATGACTTAGCAACCAACAGACCACATTTCAAGTGTCGGGGAGTGAGTGAAAACACATTCCCATTTTTATCAGCCCCAAACTCCAACAGACACATGAATGATGATGCTCATCTCTCGTCTGCCAAAAATCCCCTCCCCGCAACGAGCACATCCCCGCCCTCGAACAGCACGCCCGCCGCCCCCAGGGGGGAAAACCGCCGCCCCCGGGCGCAGCACACCCCCCCCCCCCATCATCACCCTCCTCCCCTTTCTATCTACACTCCCTTCCCCCCCGTTCATCTATATCCCCCTCCCCTTTCTCACAACCCCCCCCAGTTATCAGTCACCCTCCCCCCGCTAACTCCAACTCCTTTCACACGTCTCATTATCACTCCTCATCTTCTTCACTCGTCTCCGAGAGAGGAGGAGGAGAGAGGATAAAAAGAGGATGGTAAGTGAAATAGGAAAAAAGAGGGGGAGAGAAAGATGAACATGTGAGGAGCAGAGGTGACGAAAAGAGCGAGAGAGGGAGTGATAAATGATTGTGATTGAGGGATGATCAGAAAGGTTGTACTGTCCTCTCTCTGATGTGATTGTGGTGTTGAGACTTTAACCCATTATGTGCTGCCTCATCACAGCAAGACCCTTCTTAATTCATGTTAGACCTCTCTCTCTCTTCTCTCTCTTCTCTCTCTTCTCTCTCTCTTCTCTCTTCTCTCTCTTCTCTCTCTCTCTCTCTCTCTCCTTCTCCTTCTCTCCTCTCCTCTCCAGTCCAGGGTGGTGGCCTGTATGACGGCCATTCTGAGTCAGATGGATGACAGCCACTACTCCAGCTACCTAGAAACCTTCTCAGGCACCACTGACCTAGTGGTGAGCCGTTCACACACACACACACACACACACACACACACACACACACACACACACACACACACACACACACACTCACACACAGAGAAGCACGTGCACATGCACACACTCATAGACTCTCTGTGTTGCAGGACTTTCTGATGGAGACATTCCTACTTTTTAAGGATCTGATTGGGAAGCACGTCTATCCCTCTGACTGGATGGCTATGATCATGGTGCAGAACAGGTACTGCACACACACGCGTGCACACACACACACACACACACCACACACACACACACACACTGGATGACTGTAAACTTGAATGTTTGCCGACCCTCTGATGTGGGAAAAGTGTTTTGGTTCGAAAAAGACTGGACAGACATGTAGAGTACAGCGTATGTTTAATTGTAAAAGTGCAACTTAGTGTAGAGTTCGTGTAGCTAGCATGTAGTGGGGTTATATTTTAGATAGCAGCTGTATGTGAGTTTCTGTGTAAGGGAGCAGCTTAGTTATTATATTGTAGATAGCAAATGTAGTGTAAGTTACAGGTAGATGCAGCTGTGTTTAGTTATATTTAGAGTACACTGTAGTGTGAGTTCAGTGTAGACTAGCAGCTGTAGTGTAAGTTACAGTGTAGGTGCGTGTAGGTAGAGTTACAGTTTAGTACAGCGTAGTGTAGATTCAGTGTAACTAGCGCTGTATGTAGAGTTACTGGTAGACTAGCGCTTTGGGTAAGTTACCGGTAGGAGCAGCTGTAGTGGGAAATTACAGTGTAGACTGCGCTTTAGTGTAAGTTACGTGTAGACTACGCTGTATGTGAGTACAGTGTAACTAGCCTTATGTAGAGTTAAATGGTTTTAGTAGCAGCTTAGTGTAGATTCTGTGTAGAGTAGCAGTGTAGTGTGAGTTACAGTGTGACTAGCACTGTAGTGTAGGTTACTGTGTAGAGTGCAGCTTATTTTTAAGTTCTTTTTGTAGAGTGCAGCTGTAGTGTAGAGTTACGTGTACTAGCCTGTAGTGTAGATTACGTGTAGATAGCAGCTGTGTGTAAATTTTCCGGGTTTTAAATGCAAATGTGTGTAGAGTTACTGTGTAATTAGCACTGTGTGTAGAGTTACAGGTAGACTAGCGCGAGTGTAGATTTAAATGTAGACTAGCGCGTAGGTGAGGTTTTCTGTGTGAGTAGCAGCTGTAGTGTAGAGTTTCGTGTAGACTAGCAGCTGTAGTGAGATTACGTGTGACTAGCACTGTAGGTAAGTTCGTGTAGCTAGCACGTAGTGTAAGTTATGTGTAGAGTGCAACGTAGGTGATTCGTGTAGAGTGCAATGAGGTAGAGTTACTGTGTAAGTAGCACTGAGTGAAGTTTTCAGTGAGACTGCACTGTAGTGTAGAGGTTTTCCCGTGTAGATAATTAGGTAGGTTACTGTGTAAAATAGCAAGATGTAGGTTACAGTGAAGTAGCAAATGTATGTAGATTTTTGTGTGATAGCAGCTTTGTGTAAAGGGTTTCGGTATAGAGCTGTGTGTGAGTTCGTGAGAGTAAAACAGGAGAGTTACGTGTAGACTAGCAGCTGTAGTGTAGAGTTACAGTGTAGACGCACTGTAGTGTAGAGTTACTGTGTGAGTAGCGCTGTATGTAGATTACAGATAGAGTAGCAACTGTGTGTAAGTTACCGTTAGACCAGTTAGGTGAGTTTCGTTGGTGCAGCGTTTGTAGAGTTACGTGTAAAAAGCAAAGTAGGTAAGTTACGTGTGACTAGGCTGTAGTGTAAGGTTACGTGTGATAGCGCTGGTGTAAGTTTCATGTAAAATGGGGCCCGTTGGGGAGAGTTTCGTTGAGTACAAAAGTAGTGTAGATTTTTAGTGTAGACTAGGCCCGAGTTAGTTTACGTGTAGATAGCAGTGTAGGTGAGTTACGTATAGGTAGCAAATTTGGGGAGTTTCCCCTGTAGAGTAGGCTTATGTAGTTAATTTAGAGTAAACCCCGTGTGTGAGTTACAGGAATACAGCTGTATGTAGAGTTACGTTTAGGTGCATGTATTTTGAGTTTCATTTAGATCGCTGATGTAAGTTACAGTTAATAGCAGCTTTTGGGGTAGATTTACAGTGTAGATTAAGCTTTGTGAGAGTTACAGTGTAGACTAGCACTGTATGTAGTTATATTTTAGAGAGCACTTATGTAAGTTACAGTGTAGATAGAGCTGTAGTGTGAGTTCGTGTAGACTAGCACTTGTGTGTTAATTTTAATGCAAATGTATGTAGAGTTACAGTTAATACAGCTGTGTTGAGTTACAGTGTAGACTACAGCTTAGTGTGAGTTCAGTGAGACTAGCGCTGATTGTTTATATTTTTAGGTGCAACTTTAGTGTAAGTTTTCAGGTAGAGTCGCGTTGTTAGTACGTGTAGCTAGCAGCGTGGAGTTTTTAATTGTAGAAGCACCTTTTTTGTGTAGAGTTAAGTGTAGAGTAAGCTGTAGTGTAAGTTACAGTGTAGATAGCAGCTTATTTTAGTTATATTGTGGGAGCAATTTTTGTGTAAGTTTTGTGTAGAGTAGCACTGTAGTGTGAGTACGTGTAAAATACAAATGATGTATAGTACTGGTTTTGGTAGCAACTGTGTGTAGAGTCAGTATAGATAGCAACGTAGTGAAGTTTCGTGTGATAGCAGCTGTGTGTGATTACTGTTAGAGTACACGTAGTGTAGAGTTAAGTGTAATCAATGTAGTGTGATTTTCGTGTGGTAGCAGCTGTAGGGAGGTTAGGTAGAGTAGCGTGTAGGGAGAGTTCGGTTTTGAGTACAACTGTAGTGAGATACTGTGTAGAGTAGCAGCGTAGTGTAGAGTTACTGTGTAGAGTAGCAGCTGTAGTGTAGAGTTACAGTGTAGAGTAGCAACTGTAGTGTAGAGTTACTGTGTAGAGTAGCAGCTGTAGTGTAGAGTTACAGTGTAGAGTAGCAGCTGTAGTGTAGAGTTACAGTGTAGAGTAGCAGCTGTAGTGTAGAGTTACAGTGTAGAGTAGCAACTGTAGTGTAGAGTTACACAGGCCAAGGATATGTCAGATAGCACAGTGCAGAGAGAGAGAAAAAGGGAAGATATATAGCGAGAGATGAGAGAGAGGAAGAGAGAGAGGAAGATAAGGAGGAGTGGGTTAGGGGAAGATAAACAGGTAATGTTTCCTAGAGAGCAAAGTTAGAGAGGATGTTGGAGGGAGCAATGAGGTCTCCTTACAGAATGAGAAAGATAGATAGCACTAGAAAGAGAGGTATGGGAAAAGAGTTGGCTAGTTAACTTGAACTTTTGAAACTTTACTTTAATTAAGTTGAATCTGGTTAACTTTTAAAGCCTTTTACCATAATAATTGTATTTAATTGAATAACAATTCATCATTTATTATTAGATGAAGCTATGTGGATGTAGGGATACTGTGTCAATATTGTATTCCTATTGAAATCATTAACATTAATCTTAATGTTTAATATTCCCACTGATATATATATATATATATATATATATCAGATGGCATGAATATAGATACCATATTAATATTGAGTTCATATTAATATTGAAATCATATCACGTCAATATCACCATTGATATATATTAGGTAGACATTGATCTCCTGATGTCATCTATCTAACAGACTGTATATTGTGTTTCTGTCAGGGTGTTCCTCAGAGCAATCAACACCTACGCTGACACCATGAACCTCAAGTTCCTCAACAACAACGACTTTGAAGTGCAGGTCAGTGTGTGTGTGTGTGTGTGTGTGTGTGTGTGTGTGTGTGTGTGTGTGTGTGTGTCTTTTAGTGTGTGTGTGTGTGTGTGTGTGTGTGTGTGTGTGTGTGTGTGTGTGTGCGCGCATGCATGCAGGTGTTTCAGTCTCTCTCTGTGTGTCACTGATGTAAGTAATATTCATTCTCTCTCCCTCTCACTCACCCTATCAGAAATTCATTATTTATCCCACAGGTTCTGATTATTTTGTTTCCTCTTCCCTCTTTGTCTGTAGCTATGGAATAATTACTTCCATTTGGCTGTTGCATTCATTACCCAAGAGTCATTGCAGCTCCAGCACTTCTCCTCAACCAAGAGGAACAAGATCCTGGCAAAGTGAATTAAATAAACATATTTTTATTTTGTTTCTCTCTGCCAATATTAATGAGCCACAGTATTTCCATAATCAATGTTAGGGTGTTGTATTAGCTCCTGTCCTAAAACAAAGCTGATTTCATCTTCAGGTATGGAGACATGAGGAGACTCATTGGTTTTGCCATACGGGACATGTGGTACAAACTGGGTAAGAGTGTGTGTGTGCGAATATATGTATGGTATGTGTGTGTTTTAGACTCTGAGACTGATTCTTGTGCGTCTGTGTTTGTGTGTGTGTGTGTGTGCAGGTGGGAATAAGATCTGTTTTATCCCTGGGATGGTGGGTCCTATCCTGGAGATGACTCTGATTCCTGAGGAAGAGCTGAGACGAGCCACCATCCCCATCTTCTTCGACATGATGCAGTGTGAACACACACTCTCCACACACTTCCACAAGGTGTGACAGTGACACACACACTCCCTTGCACACTCACACACACACACGGGAGCACACACGCACACACACAATGTGAAAGGAATCACTTCTACAACTTCCGAGAGGCTTACCCATTCTCTCTGTTCTGTGTGTCTGTAGTTTGAGAATGAGATCATTCTGAAGCTGGATCATGAGGTGGAGGGAGGAGGAGGAGATGAGAGATACATGGAGCTACTGGAAACCATGTGGGTCCCTTCAATCAATATCAATATCACAGTCAATATCTGTGATCTACCACGCAATCAACCACCCATTCACTTACTTACGTGTGTGTGTGTGTGTGTTTGTGTGCGTGTGTCAGTCTGTTGGAGTGTGCTGTGGCGCATCCCTTGTTGAGGCCAGAGGTCGAGCACTTCGTTACCTTGGTGAAGGGACTACTGGTGCGTCTCCTTGACTACCGCACAGTGATGAGCGACGACAGCCGCAACAACCGCATGAGCTGTACTGTCAATCTCCTGGTAAGCCCCACCCACTACAGGAAGAACCACGGTGGGCGGAATGTTCTAGCTTTTATCTGCATTTCTGGTTTTGAAGCTATTTGCATGTTGTTGCGTCAACTGCAGTACTGACACCTTTACGTTTCATGTGTTGTCATGAGCCTGTCCCATGTCAAAATCACATCACCCACAGTCACTTTCAACACACAATCACACCCTTCTCCCCAACATGAAACCAATCTGTCGATCATGCCATTTCAATCAACTGTGCCCGCCATATGGTCATTAACATGGCATTACCAGCCGCTATATAACATCCAATCAATTGTAACACTTCCAAATACACTCTGAACACATGAATAAATTAAAAACGAAATTAAAACATTCAGTAACAGCATCTGAAGCATATATTCTGTTAGAATAGATAGAATATCACAGATCAATAAAAGATGAGAGGAGTCTCAGAGGCAGTACCAGCCTGTCGTTGTGTTATTGTATTATACTGTGACTCTATGGCAGTCACACAGGGCTGTCTGTCTGTCTGTCAGTAACACAGATGTATAGCAGGGTTATCCAGGGTTATCCAGCACCACTATGGCTAAACATTAGCCATTTCCTTTCATTACATGCTGTTTGGGAAGCTAAACACCCTTACCTCAGGCTAATTGACATTAGCATGCTATGCAATATGCAAGCTAATCATCCTTGCCTCAGACTAACTAACATTAGAATGCTATGCAATATGCAAGCTAATCATCCTTACCTCAGGCAAACTAACATTAGCGTTGCTATAGCTAACACACAGCTCCCATGGATGCATCTGGAAGACTCAGATACACTACATGACCAAAAGTATGTGGACACCTGCTTGTCGAACATCTCATTCCAAAATCATGGGCATTCATATGGAGCTGGTCCCCCCTTTGCTGCTATAACAGCCTCCACTCTTCTGGGAAGGCTTTCCACTAGATGTTGGAACATTGCTGTGGGGACTTGCTTCTATTCAGCCACAAGAGCATTAGTGAGGTCGGGCACTGATGTTGGGCGATTAGGCCTGGCTCGCAGTCGGCGTTCCAATTAATTGCAAATGTGTTCGATGGGGTTGAGGTCAGGGCTCAACCCCTTCCCCAAACTGTTGCCACAAAGTTGGAAGCATAGAATCATCTAGAATGTCATTGTATGCTGTAACGTTAAGATTTCCCTTCACTGGAACTAAGGGGCCTAGCCCAAACCATGAAAAATAGCCCCAGACCATTATTCCTCCTCCACCAAACTTTACAGTTGGCACTATGCATTGGGGCAGGTAGTATTCTCCTGGCATCGGCCATACCCAGATTCGTCTGTCGGACTGCCAGATGGTGAAGCATGATTCATCACTCCAGAGAACGTGTTTCCACTACTCCAGAGTCCAATGGAGGTGAGCTTTACACCACTCCAGCCGACGCTTGGCATTGCACATGGTGACCTTAGGCTTGTGTGTGGCTGCTCAGCCATGGAAACCCATTTCATGAAGCTCCTGACGAACAGTTCTTGTACTGACTTTGCTTCCAGAGGCAGTTTGGAACTGGAGTGCTGGAACCGAGGACAGACGGTTTTTACCCGGTATGTGCTTCAGCACTCGCGGTCCCGTTCTGTGAGCTTGTGTGGCCTACAACTTCGTGGTTGAGCCGTTGTTGCTCCTAGACATTTCCACTTCACAATAACAGCACTTACAGATGACCGGGGCAGCTCTAGCAAGAAAGAAATTTGAGGAACTGACTTGTTGGAAAGGTGGCATCCTATGATGGTGCCACGTTGAAAGTCTCTGAGCTCTTCAGTAAGGCCATTCTACTGCCAATGTTTGTCTATGGAGATTGCATGGCTGTGTGCTTGAATTTATACACCTGTAAACAACGGGTGTGGCTGAAATAGCCAAATTCACTAATTTGAACGGGTGTCCACATACTTTTGTATATATAATATATGTATGCTAGCTGCACGCATCAGCTTCTGTTACTGACTCTAAATTATTCATGATCTTTCAGAGTTTTATATTTTTAATAGTTCTTCAAACACTAGTCGGATGTGGAGATTATTGGAGTGTGTTAGATGGTGACGTGGGCTTGACATGTGTGTGTTCTGCCTTGAGTGTTTTTCTCAGTGGGTGAGCACCGGAGAAGAGCTGTGGTGTGTGTGCAGGTGCGGGTTTGTGTGTGTGTGTGTGTGTGTGCTGGTGATGAGACAGGGTTACTTCGGGTCGTCACACTCGTCTGCTCTCTTAAGATGTCATTAAACTTCATTAAACAGGGAATTTGTGCTGCACTGGCACACACACACACAAACACACACACCCTCTCTGAAATTTATCCCCCCAACACACATCCACACTAACAAGCAACGTCTCACACTTCTCTCTGTTGCATTGCAGAATTTCTACAAGGACATCAACCGTGAAGGGATGTACATCAGGTGAACACTTTATGCAACAATAACGTGTTATTTAAATTGTCAATATGTTTCATAACTAGTTACACAATATCCAATACATTACATAGTTTGTCTATAGTGGGTTTCTGTATATGTGCTGTGGGACTGGGGTAGGCTACGTGCACTGGTTTAACTGTGTATAACAGTGTATTACTCAGTGGGTGAGTGTGAGAATGTGACCTTGTATGTATGTGTGTGTGTGTGTGTGTGTGTGTGTGTGTGTGTGTGTGTGTGTGTGTGTGTGTGTATATATATAATCTGACAAGGGATTATCTCAATCCTGCTGAATTAATGTCCAAATCCAGAGGATCAAGCCCTCCACTAACAGTAACATGTGCACTCATTTTAGGAGAGAGAGAGGGATGAAGAGGAAGGGATAGAGAGGGAGGGAGCGAGAGGGAAATAGAGTGAGAGAGAGAAAGAAAGGGAGGGAGGGATGGTGAAAGGGAGTGAGGGGAGAGGTTGAGAGGAAGTGAAGGGCAGAGAAATACAGAAGGTGAGTCAAACAATGAAGAAGACGAGGAGATAGAGAGCAAGGTGTAATCCAAAAGGAAGAGTGGAATAAAAAGATGGAGGAAGAAACTAAGACAAGTGAAAGATACACTGTTTTTCTCTATTGGAAACCTAGAATGTTGAAAACCCTTCAAGTCCCACATTTGACACAATCCAAAAAATTGAGCAATGTTCTGCTGAAAATGAGTGACAGCGATAGGAAATTGTTTAGAAATAACAGGCAGAGAGAGAGAGAGAGAGAGAGAGTGTCACGCCCTGGCTCTGGGGACTCTTATATGTTGAGCCAGGGTGTTAGTTTCTATGTTTAGTGTTCTATGTTCATGTTCTAGTTCATTTGTTTCTATGTTGGCCGGGGTGGTTCCCAATCAGAGGCAGCTGTGGCTTGTTGTCTCTGATTGGGAACCATACTTAGGCAGCCTGTTTTGCACTTGTCATTTGTGGGATCTTGTTCCGGAGAGGTTTGTGTTTGTTAACCTTAAGACTTCACGTATCGTTTTGTTATGGTTATAAAGTACTCATTAAAAGATGTACGCATATCACGCTGCGCCTTGGTCCACTTCTTACGACGATCGTGACAGAGAGAGAGAGAGAGAGAGGCAGAAATAACTAAAAGAGGAAGATAAATCGAAAGAGGAAGAGAAATTGAAAGAGGATTAGAAAGAGAGGAGAAGGTAAACGAGAGACCTAGGGTTGAGGCAGCTGCATAGCGACAGCAGTCTGATGTGTTTTAGCCCTCAAGGCACATTAAACTTCCATGCGTTCTGCTGTGTGTTACACAGTGTTCACATCAGTGTGAGACAAACACAAAGCTTTGCCACGCTATAAAAACGTCATCAGGGTGACATACACTATCCATTATTCAGAGACAGACAGTGTAAATTATAGAACCATTGGAATGTCGGTTCAGCTGTTTGTTAGTTCTCTGTGGTTGATGGTTGGTGTATAGGTCATGCAATCACAATCACAATAGATTGGCTACGTGTTCCACAGCATGTTGGACTGCTCACTGAGTTGATTAGGCTAAAGAGACATCTAGTGGACAGTGGTAGACATTACAGTGTGATGTGTATTAACTTGTGTGTGTGTGTGTGGGTTTGTGTGTGGGTGTGCGTG